AAGAGGATGAAGTAATAATGAAAAGATTATCAATTTGCCAAGTGAGGGCTAATGAATAAAACTGCGCTAAGGATTAAAGGCTGGACACTTTTTCCTAAAATAATGCCTTAGCTTGCCAGTCTCACGCAGGCATTACACCAGGAGTGAAAAATCACCTCATACACAGAGATAATCTGAAAATAACAGAGAATATTTAAACTAGTCCCAGCTGAAGAGCAGAGAAGACCATAATTAGGGTCAGAAAAAACAAATGTGGATAAAAACAGGGCTGGGGCAAGATTCCGTCATGAAAGGTGTGATTAAAGCAAAGTACTGTCAAGTCCATGAGTCCATGTTCTCCAGAGGACTTAATACATTTTACATTTTGGATGTATATGTTATGACAACTGTTATTAGGTCCTAAATGGCACATCTTTGGTCTTGCATTAATTTGTATGCTCAGAGTACTTTTCTTATTCAAACTCTCAGAAGACCTGCTGTTATATCATTCCAACATCACTTACATAAACTTATATGCTTCTCTGGAGCATCCCACCACTTAGTCCTCTTTTCCTTAATGCTTTATTTACAATTGTTCATATTACTTCAAGGCTAGAAGAGACAGTCAATACATTACAGAATAATTAGCTTGCCTTGCCTTGCCATTTCCTAACTTATATTTATTATTCTCACTCTTAACCTGAAAAAAATCATCAGTACATCCCACTTCCCAGAATCCCAACCAAGCAAGGTAGGAAATAAACAAACCCCCTCTCTGAGGTATTAACATTATTCCTTCCTTTAGTAAGATTCTCTGAAATAGTGGCATTTACTCCACAACGCAGCGTCTGCAGCACCAGCAGGCTTTCAGATTAGAAAGCAACAGGCTATTTAAAAGAATTTATGCATCCTTGAGTGATTCTTCGGAACGGTCAACTCCAGACTGCCTGGCAAGTTATAGTTGACACTGGAGGTTTTACTTCCTTTGGTGTAACTTCACCAGTAGTAGAAATAATAAAGCCCATCTAAAGTATACATGGTCTCTTATTTCCTTGAGCTTTCAGTAAAATGTTTCCAATTCTACAAAGCACAAGCAATAAGATCTGCCAGAATAATTCTGTGGACTTGGTCTATAAATATCAGGAGCTGATACAGTGTTCCCTATGGATATCATCCTGGAGTGTTTTGGATTTTTTTTTTACACATATGTCCATTAGAAAAAGGAAATCTTTGCATAAAGGAAGGTGCAATAACATTGGTGAGGGCTGAACAAAATTTAGAACAATTACATCACTTTTTAACTTCCTGGAACATGTTAGCAGAGATATGCTATTTCTAAACATATTTGGTTAAGAAGTCCAGTATCAAAAAAACCACAAACCCAAAACCAACCAGATGGAATGGTGTTCAATTAGATACAAAACACTTCCAAAACACTTCCACCTGGAGTGTCTCCAGTTTGTGTAGCAAATGCTCTGTGTGGCTGTTGGTCTATGGAAATGGTTTGTCCTCTGAAGCACATCTTCGAGATGACAGAGAATTCAAAGTAATGTTTCATTGCTGCTGAATGGACTGAGGCCTTTACGAGTTAGTTAGCATTTTAAAAGCTCTTACACATTATGTTTCGAACAAAAAATATTTTATTTTTAAAAAATGCATAAAATTGTATGGAAATTGTCCTTGCGTTAAGGGAAAAATCTAAACAGGTCTCCATGGAGACCAAATGATCACCACCAAGCTTTCTAGAAAAGCACAGTAAAACAATGTATATGGAAATGGTCTATAAAATGGAAGGACTGAGGTTACTCTCTCTACATACACATACACGTATCATATGTCATCCACACCACCAGTTAGCTTGGTTTGCATACACTGTTATTGAACAAAGACAATGCACGAAGTCTTTGCAGCGTGCCCTGGTCTAAGTCATCTGGATTTACTTGTTTTCTCAGCACAGGTGCTGAGTTTTGGATATGACTTTAATACCTGTAAGAAAGTGCTGGCTTGTGTACTAGATTCTGATATTTTCTGTTCTTTTGAATAAAAGATCCTACAAGGCAAGATGTCGAGAACTGCCAAAACAGTTGGGCTAAAAGACCTGTCCAAGTACAGGACAAAAAATATGGAGAAAGCAGTAATCCAGGATCTGATCCATCTGTTCAGCTACTCCAAAAGAGTCTATAGCAGTTGTAGCTTCAGAAAAAGAAGCAATAACAGAAAAAAAAAAAACCCAAAAATCTGATATTTTACTTTCAATTCTGAGCTAACCTTTTGTAGCTCTTTATGTTTGCATCTATGCTCAGGTTTATATTTCACCTCTTCTGATAATTTTTTGTCTCGTTAAAGTAATATAATAACGCTGAGCAGCAAAACAGCCTTCTTAAAACTGTTCTCATGGAAGTAATATAGCTATTGCTTAAAGTAATCTCTACCATAGTATAGCAAGATAAAAAAACCAAACCACTTTGAAATACCAATACTATTGGTAGCATATATGAAGGTGAATGAAAAAAAAAAGTTAATTCCCAAAATTGACAAAATAATCACTTCTCAGGAAGTTAGTACATGATCCAGAGAGATGAAGAATGAATCATACAGTAATTTTATGGCTTCAGTTTTGAAGTGTTCCTGATCAGTGGTATTTTTTTGGTTTGGGGTTTTTTTGGTATACGAAGGACATACACATATTAATGCACACTTCTCTGTGAATTAAGGGGATAATCAGACTGCAGTTACTAAAAATCAGTTGCTCGTATTCAGCCATATCTCCTTGTAAACCACACATACATAATTTGTTTTTCAAGTTTTTTGTTTAATTATAACATAATTAAATTAAAACCAGTTAATCCCTGGGATATGGGCATTCACATTGAAAAAATAATATAACAAAGAAGCACGAGCTGAAAAATGATCTCTAAAGTTTTTTCTGCAACCAGGTTCAAAGGGATTATTCTGGGGGAAATTAAAGTTTTAATTATGCCTGAAAACAGAGAACTCAATGTTAACTAAAGGTACTGATGTAAGCAGAATATGCATTAGCCACAGAGCATCTTTGATAACAGTGGAAAACTATCTTACTCTAAATTTGCAAATACTATTCTGTTTCAGTTTGAGACTTCTCTGGACTGCATTTCACTGAATTGCAATGAAGTCTTTTGTAGCCTGGGGTTCTGTAGTTCTTTTGCAATCAAGATTTCCCAGGAGTGCTGTAATCTGAAGTAAAGATGAGATCTAGGGTTTTTTTTTTAGTTTGGAAATAAAATGCATCAAAACCTGAAGCTTTGCTGTATTCCTAAATCCTTATGGAATTTACTTCATAATTTGAGAGGGGAAAAAACCTGGAAAAAGAATCACAAAACTATTGAATGGGAATGACGTGTTACACACACCAGAGTAACATATAGCTTGGCTTTTTTGGGCATTTAGGAGATGTGGGTTCAAATCCTTTTAGAGGAGATAATACAACAGAAGATCTGCAGGCAAATAAAAAATTAATTATTGACACAGCCTGGCCCTGAAGAATAGTTGAGAACATGAATAATTTAGAAATACATCTGAAAGCATGCATTATTTGAGAACAGAGCTGAGAGCATGCTAACAGGGACAGCATGGTGACTGGAGGTTTGCTGGACCATCGCCACTCACTCCGTTGCTGTAAGCAGACTATACCAGGCATTTGCAAGTTACGAGGAATGACTTGGTAAGAAAGAAGCCTGCTGTGCTGTGCAAGGGAGGCTAGCCTTGAAATCTTAAAGTACAAGTTACCTAAGTGAACCTCCAAGACTGTTTACGTTCACAGTACGGAAAATCCACCAGTTCTTGAGCTATACAAATGTTGATGAAGAGGTATGCGTGTATTGGCTATCACTATATCTGGCGAATAAGTTAAATATGTATACCCTAGACACAGAACAGGAAAACCCTAGCTATTATATAAAAATTCTCTGTTGGGTTTTTAAAATATTATTCTATCTCAGTATGCTTTTATTTTGCAGGAGACTATGTAGTCATGTCTGTTTACTTTAACCTGAGCAGGAGAATGGGTTATTTCACTATTCAGACGTACATCCCCTGCACACTTATTGTTGTGTTGTCCTGGGTCTCTTTTTGGATTAATAAGGACGCAGTTCCAGCCAGAACATCCCTGGGTGAGTTGTATTTTCTTCCTGCTTTTATTCAAGCATTACGATGTTTAACTGACACCTCTGCAGATCACCAGTTTGAATATATAAGGGGAGAGACAATTTCACATGAGCTTTCCTTGTTTAGAGGGAGGTAGTTATTTCCAAGGAATAACGTAGCCTAAGCCATATTTGCATCTCTTCCTTTTTACTATGTAAGATCCTAACTCTAAGCATTGTAGATCGCCTACCATAAAAACTTTTTCGTCTTTTCCGAGGACAGCATTATACTTTATCAACATGAAAAGGATAGGGAACATTGCTAGATTAGAGGCTGGGACACACTAGTTTTATTTGCTCTATTTCCATATCATGGTGACCAGCAATACAAGTGAAATAAATACCAAGAAGGAATCAATCTTTCTGGCTGGCTGTGTGCCGTAGCTGTAACAAGGGGAGAATGCAGCACCCTGACTTCTACTTTACGGTACAACAATCAAATATAGCTTTCAGGCCACTTAATTAACTGAATTTCATGGTATCTAAAATCCTACATATGAAAATGTGACATGCAACTAATCAGAATTAGCAATTCCTACACATTTAGCAACTGTTTCACAAATAAACTAAAAGAGAGACCAAATTAACCTTGCTTGTGCAAAGCGGTTGTAGCTGTGAGAATTAGCAAAGTAGAAACACTCAACTGTAGAAAGTTAAACACATTTTCTACTTCTGCATTAAATCCACACAAGTGAGAATGATTTTAGTTTTTCCTTCTGCATTTTCGTTTTGTCACAGAACTAAAGCACAGAGCACTGGAGCGCAAAACGAGGGACAGCATTTTCATTCCAGAGCTCCCTTGAAACAAACACAGGAATAGAGGACGAGCGGCTCCCATGACAGAAAGTTTTAAGCATTTTATTGCTTTTTTTACATCCTCTCTATAAAGAGCTTATAAAATCTGCTTTAAAGTATAAAATTAATAAAGGCACTCAGCTGTTATTTTAAATTTTAGTTAGATATACAAAACAGACCAGCCCCTCTGTTGAGAATTTTGTCTGTTTGTACCAATAAGGAGGTAAAATCAGTGGTATGAAATTTACCATATAAAATGTAACTGTTCTGATGCATTTTTAATGACCTTCACATCATAGTACAGGGAATAATGTTCTGAAAGCAGAAGGGATGTTGAGGCACGTTACAGTACTTCTCAGTTATAGACTACAGTCACTATGAAGGCCGGAAGAAATACTGCTCTGGCACCAAGAGAAACCTGACCTCACAGTGTTATAATATAAGGAGCCCTGAGAGACTCTCCCTTCCAGATTTATTTGCAAGAAATCACTTCAATAACAAGCAGCAGATAATTTGAGTGGGGCTAGCATCTTTTGCATACAACTTGGAATGCATTTAGGCAAGAGAAAGGAAACAGTTTCATTTCTTTAGGTAGCCCACATAACAAGCTACATACATTTTGTCCTGAAGTTCCTGCTGGATTACATGCTTTCTTAAGAATTTTCATTAATTTCTAACTCACATAATGACTGCAAGTGCATCTTCGACACTGGTGTGATTACTGTGCAACTGAAAATAGGCAAAACTTATCCCAACAGCACTAAGTTTGAAATTGGTCATGATGTTACTTTGAAGAATGGAGTAAAGTGATTTCCATTCTCTCCACCATGATTTTCTCACTCTGACACAAGTTGTCTTCTCTCTAGCTCTATTTAAATGTTTGAGCACACAAATCCGAAAACTAAATTTCTCAATTAAAAACAAAGGCCCCCTAGGAGTAAACTACAAAACCGAAAAACTAAATTAAATTTCTTAGAATCAGAATCCATCTAACCAAAGTATTCTGCAGAGCAGCACTTGCAGTGACCATGCAAAAATGTTTCATACCCCGTGTTAATCCTCAAAGCTCTCACTGAATCCACATTTCACTCCTGGGATGTGCTGTTTAATATCTTGGCTATATGTTTGAACTCCAGGCATACTTCAAAACCAGTCTGAGAGAGATAATTGGCAAAATCAGTTTGTTACATGAAGTAATAATATTTCTATTTTTTCTATCTATCTACCAGGTATTACAACTGTCCTGACAATGACCACCCTAAGTACAATTGCTCGTAAATCTCTTCCCAAAGTCTCCTATGTAACAGCAATGGATCTTTTTGTGTCAGTCTGCTTTATTTTTGTTTTCTCTGCACTGGTGGAATATGGAACTTTGCACTACTTTGTCAGCAACAGAAAGCCAAGCAAGGATAAAGATAAAAAGAAGAAAAATCCAGTATGTATCTTTTTACCAGCAAGGTCTAAAATTCAATTAGGTTTTCTGAGAGAGCATTTAAATCCCTCTTTATGCCTGTCTTTTCTTTTCAGACTGTGCTATTACATATATACTCTTCCTTTGCATTAATAGGAATGCAAACGTTCACCTTGAGAATGAAAAGCTCACATATTATGGTTGCCTGGATGCCAGAGAAACTCATTTCTTAGAATAAGGATCCTCTTAACCAAAGTGTTCTGCAAATCAAAACTATCACCAAAACCATTATTTATGTTATAGATAGAGCTCTGCTGTGACCTTTATGGAAGAACTGTCAGTTTCTCTGTCTTAGCTTCAGCAATATTCTCTGCCTTTAACTGTATTATTGACATGACATTTTTTCTTATTATCAGGACTACAGTTAAACTTTTATATTCAAACTACAGAGTGTGCTTTTTCTAATTCCCCCTTAAGCATCTGTTTCCTTTTTATTGTTTCCTTATCTTCTTTCTGTTGTATTTCTTACCTCCTTTATCTACTTCTCTCCCTTAGAAAGTGATTTGGCTAGCAGTTTACAATGTTACTTATCGATGAATGCTACACAATAATAATTAAAAAAATGTATATAATAGCCACAATTAAAAAATTCTGGAAATACCCACAGTGGGGGTTTGGGGGTTTTGCCCAGATAAGGAAGAAGGTTGTTGCTTATGTTGTCCAGGACAGATTTCTCCTTACCTTTTGCAACTGAGCTGAAAAGTGCATTGTCTAGAACCTCTGAGGTGAAAAGAATTAGTGTGAAATTCTAGAGGGAAAAGTAGCCTAATCGTCTACAAAAAAAACCCCAAATATGCCTGCGAAAAATGTGAAGAACAAGTGTTTTACATGAATAGAGAGTATTTTCAAATCCATTTCAGGCATCTAGGAAACAATGAAGGCACTTGGATTTGCTCTGCTAAATTCTTCAAGGACTTCTGAAGATACTCTCTTTTAGTTATATCACACAGCACAAAAATAATATAGAAAAAATAGTAATTAAAGAACCTTTGATTACACATTATTGCTATAATTGCAATTTTAAAAGCTGTTGAGAAATAGTGTCTAAAAAAATTAAAAAAATTAAAAAAAAAAAGTATTCTGTGGTGGCTAAACAGACAGAAAAACAGCAGAAAAATTGCCACCTAACTTTAAGTATGCTAAAGTTGGATTTGATCATAGGCCTCTCTTTTGGTCAAAAGAAAGGCACTTGCGGAGGGTGATGCGACCTCGTCTGCCTTAGGCAGAAATAAAAGGCTGTCTGTGTGCACCTGTGTCTTTCACAGTCAATTAAAGGAGCAAAGATTAACTCTCTCAAACGTAGTTGTCTCACTTACGGAGGTCCATGTAAGGGCAGATTACTTGTTCTTTACATTACTTCTCTGTGAGCATTTGGGGACAAAAAGAACTATAAATGATTGCCTGGATCCTAATCCCAGAGTCCAAAAAACCTAAAAGTAGAGTGTTCAGGACCCAGTCCACAGGTAAAAGGAATTTTTTAGAAAAAGTGTTTCTATAAACTGTGGTCTCTTCCAAAATAGTTCAACATAAAATATTGGAAGCCCCTGGGAATATGAAAAGATCCAAATGGAGTTTGATATCTTATGTCTTTGGCCCAGATGTAGTTACAAGACAGTGACAAGTCAAAAAAAGTGGGGGTTTTATACTATAGATACTTGTTTCAATTGCTATTAGCCCAACCTTTCTATAAATTTAGTTCTTTTTGACTTACTATGTTTTAGAAACATATTTTTAATTTATATTATTTTTGTCTCTTTCTTTCTTTCCTTTCTTTAATTTAAACCAAACCCTTCTCTTTTCTGTCTACAAAATGAAAGCTTCTTCGGATGTTTTCCTTCAAGGTATAATGTTTTTTGGAATGGAAATTCACTGCATGCGACTGCTGAATTTAACTATTAGAGCTTACATGAGGGTGGTGTTTTGTTGGGTTTTTTGTGGTTTTTTTTAATGAGACATCTAAGCATTCTACTCAAGGTAACATCTTAATTAAGTAGAATGGTTACATATTTCTAAACGATTTGTAGAGTTGATTCAGCAGCCCAAATACCGATTCACTATGGTTCTGAACTTACCTAAGTTCAAGAGTGACCAACACTATTGGATCGCATGAATTAAGAGAGTTTGATGTTATAACATTTCTTCCTCTCTCTTTCTCAATTTGCCATGGGATCCAATACCACCAGCTACACCAGAAACCTGCAATACACCCTTTTAGAACTCAACTCTGGCCCCACCTTTTTACCCTTTGCGATTTCACTCCAAATTATGAAATCAAATCTGTTCTGATGTTGACCTGAGGAAAATTCAATGTCATCATCACTTACTCAAATGCTGTTCCTTATGCAAAAAAGTCAGAGTTTTGAAAGGGTTTAATACGCACATATATTTTTAATGCTGTCACTGGATCAACACACTTAGCAAGTATATCTAGCTGTGTTCCACATCTAAACCTTATCTTCATTCAGAAATGCAGAGATTTTGCAAGAAAAAAAACCAACAAACCCAAAAAAATCAAACCAGGGAAAAAAAGAAACCACATAAAATAAAAGGCAAGAAATTTACTTACTCATGGAACCGAATAGTTATTATTTTACCCTAATAACTATGAGCAGGAAATTCCAATGCCTGCCATCCTAGTGTTAGCCAAGTGCTCAAATGCTTTTAAAGTGCTTCATTTGCTCAATTCATTCCAAATACATATGCGTGTGTATATATATGTACAACTACTATATAAAATTTGGAACATGTTGAACGTTCTAGTTGGTGAATACTAGTAGATGGTAAACTGCATGTATTAAACCAATTGGAAAGTCTTATAGAGGTTCTCCTAGTCTTATTCAAAAGATCCAGTTTTTGCATTTTTTCCTTTGTATCTATTTGCTCCTGTCTCAACACGAACCAGCTCTCTATTAAAATCCTGCATTTCTAATTGACTATTTCAGTTCCTTCCATGTGCAATACACAAATTGCCTTTAGATACAGAGCAGCTATGTAAAATATACAACACCAAAGAAATTCAAAATACTGTCAATTACATGCCTGAATCTTTCCTCTAACCTCTAATGTTTGCTCAGTTTGGCTTTAAAGCTAATTATCCACAGCTGTTAACTATATATTGATTTGTGCTGCTGTCCTGTAAAGTTATATTGTACGATGCAACTAATTTTAGTAAGTTCAAGGTAATATTACCATTAGAACTCCTCAGCAATTTCCTACGTATCCCACGCAGAACCATCATTCACATGTTGACCATTAGTCTCTGTCTCCCTGTTGGTCCGGTGATAGTAACAGAGTCTCTCCCTCCTGCCATCTTTTTCTTTTTTTTTTTTTTTTTTTGCCACTCCACCTTAGGCACCTACAATTGACATCCGGCCTCGATCAGCCACTATTCAAATGAACAATGCTACACACCTCCAAGAAAGGGATGAAGAATACGGGTACGAGTGTCTTGATGGCAAGGACTGTGCCAGTTTTTTTTGCTGCTTTGAAGATTGTCGAACGGGAGCATGGAGGCATGGAAGAATACATATCCGCATTGCCAAAATGGACTCCTATGCCCGCATCTTCTTCCCAACTGCCTTCTGTTTGTTTAACCTGGTGTATTGGGTATCATATCTTTATCTTTAAAAGCAGAAGGAAATCAGTGAGATGAGCCTTACTCACTGAATTTCTTAGAGAGATGGTTTCCTAAGTCCACTTGAAGTATTTACAACGCGCTTTATAGTGGTCTGAATTCTTTAGTGCCATAACCCGGTAAATATCAATCCCATCATTTGTCCAAAAATTGCCATCAGGTTATTGTGAATTAAATGTCCGTTCAACATGCCGAAATAATTTAAAATAAAAATCATACAAACAGGTAATATACAGCTATACCTGCTGGAATAGAGAGAAACAGAGTAAACAGGGTAAGGGAAGCATAGCACCATCACTTAATAGTCGGTACTGCTATTTCAAACAGGAGTGAGAGAGAGGAGAATTCCCAGGTAAAGTGCTGTACAGTTTGTTAACACTGGCTATAATTATGCTATAGCTTTATTCTCTGTGGGCTTTTCTTTTTGGAAGAGTCATCTCTCACTTTGAATAGGTATTAATTATTAAGCTAGGAAAGCAACTTCTACTCCCACCAATAAAAATAGACTTTTCCCTTTGCCATCCCTTTAAGAGCACATGTACAATGCTGTAAATATTTCAATACCTTGTAGTACATAAAAGTCTAGTGCATGCATCTTTTGGGGGCCAAAATAAATGAAACAAAGGTACCATAAAGTATTGTCTTTTATTTTGTGTCTCTGGATGTGCTATTGTAATTGAAATGTTGACAATTTTTTTTTCCTTGAAAAATTACCCCTTTCCCTCATGCATGGAAGATCCAAGCAGACAGCACTTTCATGTAAGACATTAGAGAAGCCTTAAGGATTCAAATAAATAACATGTAGACAAATCTGTATGGCCAATATAATAGCTCATAAAGTATATTGTATGTGTCTGCTGCAGTTGTAGCCTTCATTTTCCATTGATAATGTTACTATATTTCAACTGAATTTCCAGTAATTATACATTGCAAGATCAGCTTCTGAATTTAAATCCATGTGCTTCTATTGTTCTTTTCCCATGTTGAGCTCTAGTTTTTCCTTACACAAGTGTTTGTGCGTTTGTTTTTTTTTTATTCTTTAATCCAGTCTAGGAAATAGCTTTTATTCTAGACACTATTTTTACAGAAGAGCTTCAAGTTCATTTTGAAACATTTGATTTTGTATTATATATACACATACAATTCTCTGCCCGTTCATGTCCTTGATCTGCAATAGTCGTTGTCAGTGCTGCTTTTCACTTGGTGAGTACCTTTACTAAAACAAATCTTTACCATGGCTAGCGCACAGTTTATAGATAGCCTTGAAAATGAAAGGGAACAAAGGGTGTCTTGGCTACTAAATCACATGTATGCAGTTTATGTGTATTTAAAACCTTCAGCCCACCTGGGTGAATCTTGAAACCCATTAATCCACTGGTTTTCAGAACCTGTACGATGCTCAATTTTGGAACCTTAAGCACATGTAAATATAACTGACTTTTTTTTTTTTTTTAATTGTCAAAGATGTAAAACCTCACCTCCAGGAAAGTGGGCTTGCAGATTGAAAAGGGAGATATATGACTTACCAATACAGAATTATTAATAGCTAAAATGGAGGAAAAGGAAAGTTTTCCAATGTTTGTATAGTTTTGGAAATAAAAATGTATAAAAAAGGAACAACTCTTGACCATCAATTGCTCCTTGTCCAATGTATTTGAAAACATTTTAATAAAGGAATTGCACACACCTGTGGACTTTTTCCAATAAAACTGCTGCACTCAATTCCAGTTTTCTTGTGATTAGTTTGTTAAAACTGGCTTCAAGGACTAGACTGCTTGGCTAGTTTGATTCATCAGCTGCCTAAATATAAGTGATTATAATCCTCATAACCCTCTGCATTGTCTCATTTTGTAGTCAAAGGGCTCACCCGCCTAACTTTCAAGGATGGAGACTAAATCTTTAAAAACATTTTGAAGATTATCTTATTCTTTAAAAAAAAAATAAAAAGAAATAACTGAATTGGAAGTATCATAATGAAGAGCGATAACCTTTATCTACTTAAAGCAAAGTATCTCTGCTCCCTGAATGAGGGTCAATCATCTTCCATACTGAAATGTATTTCAGCTGGTGTCAGACAGATTGCTAATTTATTTTTTTTTTTCCAGTGGTCAGTGATTTAACAGCTTTCTGTTAGTTCCTTGTAGTTAATAAGAGTGGCTGATGTTACACATTTAAAGTTTCGATTTTTACCTGCATCTTTTCCCTGCCACCAAACAGGTTATATATAGATCATTATGAATCTCAGCCCAAAACAACCCTTTAATTCCCTCAGTCCAAGTGCATTTCAGTTAACATACTTAGATTATTGTTTTAAAGGTCTGTGAAATTAAGGATTCAGTTGCACCAAGTAGTTTACCCTAGTTCTGCCATCAGATTGTATACGCCTATAGAAAGCCTGCGACACTGAAGAATTGGATGCCGTAACGAGGAACAAATGATCTCATCCCTCGCTTGCACAAGGTGGCCTTCTCCTTCCAGCAGGGAGGAGTTTGGTTAAAGATTGATATATCCCCATCTCAATAATGCAAACCACACAAAATGAAAGAGCATATGACACCTGCAGTTAAGGAGCTGAGTAAACTTCTCTCACCCTGTATCACTACACAAAGTAAAGGAAATAAGCCCGTAAAATGTGTCGTTATTCAACACCCCCGTTCCTGCCCCACTTATTTAGGTGATTTGTCATTTCCTCTTGGGGAAAATGGATGAGATGCAAAAGGAAGGTTCATGGAGAAACACGCAATTCCCAGTGACAAAATGACACCAAAGCACAATCTAGTGCTCACTAAACAAAAAGTATAGTGTTCCTCTGAATAGAGATTATATTAGCTATTCAGCACAGAATCAAAAGACAACCTTTGTACTGTAAAGCCAGACTGCCACCACAACAAACAAAATAGCATTTGGGTATGATGAGGAGAAAAGTGCTCAGAAACCTATCTATATAGACATATTTGGCACATATATATTATAGAAAATATATTAATACATACATTATACATATTAACTCTCCCGGTTGCATTCTAGTGAAGAAACTCACTCGTGATGTAACAGACTTGCTAAAAGGTTTTCACGCTCTTCACGTTGCAGATAACTATTATTGCTCTGCGATATGTCTGAAGATGTTCAGATGGTCATTAAGAGTTTTATCAAGTATACACTACTAGCACAATTATTTACTTGTTATTTATATTCCAAGAGTATGTAGATGTCCTGACTGAGACAAGGCATTGTTGTCCCAGGGGTTATGTCATACATACCTATCAAAAGAGAACACCCTCAAAGTGTGTAAATCTTCATACATTCATAACTTTTACAAACCCCAGTTTGTAAATAAAGAGCTGGTATTCAGAGAGATAATGTGACTCAACAATAGTTCTCCTATTTCCAATGTTAGGCAACTACAAAAGACTATATTTTATCCAGCAAGCATGGAACAATTTTAGTCTCTGTTCAACACAAAATGCTAAAGCTCCTAAAGGTACAGTTCCCGGCACAGATTATATACACACACAGAGAGCATAATAAATAAATAAAGTGGTCTTATTTTTAAGCCACTTATTTCTACCTCATTTTCCCACAGTCACATAAATATATCTAACATGAATGGACCGGTGAAATACACTATGTGTATCAGTATCAATGACACAGTTATAGCAGCAAATATTAGCATATCTTGCAGATCCAAATATTTGGACCTCCTTCCTCCTATGCCCCCAGAGCCTCTCAGTCTAAAAACACAGGTAGAAAAGGAAAAAGAATAGTTATCAAATACTCAAGCAAATGAATAATGTGAGAAATTGATGAGAGTTAAAAATCCACCAAACTGAGCAACCATGATGGCCTACTCTGAAACCATAGCAATGGGAATAGAAAATCCCTAAAACAAAAAGTCCATGAACATGACTAATCCAATCCTGAAGTTAGCCATCGCTCCAGGTGGAGCCCCAACAGAATAGAAAGTTAGATAGTAACCTAGTGGTAGCTGATGGGATGAAGGTATAACCTCTAGTTACCTTAGGTAATTTTAATACTAAGTATCACACCTCTAGGAGGAGATTTTATATGTCAATGTAAGACCACCTTAGTATAGTGAGCCAGACAGAAATTGGGACTTGCACAATTAAGTTCTTGTTATATAATTACAAGTGGCCAATCAGCTCTTTTCATAGGGTTTTTTTTTTCTTACCTTTTTGTATAAAAGACCCTATGTGTTTCCTGCCTGGTGTGCTGGCTGCGTTAGATGCCTAGCACCCGATTCTGCAGAACTGAAATAATGACAACTATCTCCACTCAGTGTGGTGATTGCCTCTTACCCACCAGGTGAAGAACCCTTATTTTTAACATCAATAAAATGAAACAAGAAAGCTTTGTTAACTGCACAATTTTTAGTAGATAGCATTACTTTACATGGAACAAAAAAAAAAAAAAATAATTGGGAAAGTACAGTTTTAGATTATCTGCCTTACCACAAAATCTAGGTTTTGTAGGATCACGGCAGAGATGAGCTGTAAACTGGGTTTTGAAAGAAAACAAGCAAGGGTTTTTTCAGGTTTGTGGAAGTGTTTCTTATGCTACAGAGGAAAGGCAGGACTACGCAAGAAAGTCTTTGTGGGAGAAGCTGGTAGCTGAGGAATGAAACTAAGGCATGACTATGGCACAGAGGCTGAAGTCAATACTGAGCTGATCTGCTCCATCCAGCCTACAGCTGAGAACTGAATTAGAGAAGCAAACAAAATAATTTGCTGAATTATGTAGGAATTATGTATGTTAATGGACTAAAGAGGCGGCCCAAAGCAACAAGCTAAGGAGAGGAATTCAGAGGCAATATGATCCATAGAAAACATAATCATTATCAAGGCCAGAACAATAAAGGTTGCAGTTCCCTGAAACAAAGAGATCACATTTAGGATTCAGGCTTCATCTACATGGATGAAGAACCAGGTTTGGTGATGCTGTGGCAGAAAGTTAATGTTATTTGGAAAAGAAGAGCTGGATAAGTACTTAGTAAAAAATAAAGCCTGTTCGGGTGCTTCTGCAGCTGGAAGAATAAAGCCTGTTATTCTAAGCTAAGGGATCCATGGCAGAATCCCACAGTGAGTATGAAGAAAACTAAAAATATAAAGGAGCCATCTAAATGAAACTTAATTACACCCCAGGGCAAAAAGTTACATTTGAAATTGCAAGTGTTGTCTTTCAAACAAAATTTCAGTTGCTTTGCAAGGATAATTTAATTAAATCTTATGAAAAACTTCACAGGTAAATCAGTTTATTATACCCATAAGAGATCTGTTGTTCCATTTATAAAAATAAAAAATCAATGCACTTTCCCTCCTTATCTAGAAGGATCCTGTAGGTGAAAAGATTTAGG